TCTGTTCTCATGGGAGACATCCTTACCTGTACGTACATGCTGCTGACCTGACTTTCACACAGCAGATGTGTGCAGCGGCTGGTTAGGGTTGGATCAACTGAGCCTCCACACGCCTGAATGACCTGACGAAGGAGGTAAACAAACACTGATCTGTCTGATGCTCAGCATTGTCTCCTGTCTTTCATACTCTCTCTCAGTGACTTACCCTCTTCCATGTAGCAAGGAGCTGTTTGTCAGCCATCTGTTCTGGATAGTCGGCAATACCAAACACACAGCCCAGGAGGAAGCCATCCTGTGGGACTGGGGAAAGAAAGAAATTACTTTCACTGAATCACAGACTGAAGATAGTGCAGGACTGACAGCAGTTTCAATCCTGCAGTTACCAGAGACCCAGCCTTCTATAGAAATGCATCATCTCAGTCAGCAGGTGTGCTTATTTTCTTAATTAGACTTAAAAGACTTGGACAGGTTCAGTTTGTGGTCACACAGACTTTGTGTGACTTGTGTTTTAGTGCATTCTGTGACTAAACTCACCCATTAAAGCACAAGTCACACAATAACACAAAACAATATCAAGCCAGCAACAGATAATCAGTCACCCTGTATTACTTTAGTCTCCTATGTTGGAAAGATAGGTGGCGAAAACAGCTGCTGTCCTCTCAGCCATCAAAGCTGACTCTTTCTCCCGTCTTCGACCTCTGCTGCTGCTGACTGTGAGCACAGCAGCACATCAGTTTCTGTGTGGCCTCAAAGGCTAATCAAAATCAGTCTTTTAGAGCAGCGGCCCCCGAGACGTGAAATGCTTTGCCTCCATCTTTATGTTGCCTTGATTATATTCATTCCTTTAAACGACAGCTAAAGACTCGTTTATTTAGACTGGCTTTAATTAGATTTGTGCGAAATGATCGATTGTGTTGTTTTTGCACATCTGTTTTATATTATTGTGAAGCACTTTGTGGTTCTTATCCTGTGAAGAACGCTATATAAATTATTACTATTATTATTATATGTGACACTCATTCCGTCAGGCCCTTAAACAAGCCCACCACAAAGAACCTGAAGCATCTCTAGCTGAGACTTTTCTTCCTGTTCAAACGAAGTTCTTCCTTCCCACTGTTGCCAAGTGCTTGCTTAAAAGGTGTTCTTTAACTGTTGGGTCTTTTCTCTGTATTATTGTGGGGTCTTTACAACATAAAGTGCCTTGACGCAACTGCACAATATAAATTAAATTCAACTGAATTGAACTAAACTGAAAAAAGATACATTTCTTTAATAAAATAGCCCATTCACCCCCCGTAAGAACCTGAAATTTTCTCTTATTATAGAAATGAATCAGGATCTATAATTTGTGAAAGATGCATCAAAAATCAAAAGTCTGAGTAAAAATTATTTTAAAAAAATAAACAAAACTAAAACCAAACTGTCCTGTACAAACTTAATATGATTAAAAGTGCAAAAAACAATTAGTGAATATCTGAATGGTGTATAGTTGTGGTAAATAGTGATTTTCTATTCTCCCAGAGCGCTTTATACTACATGCCGCAGTCACACCATCACTCCCTCCTATGCTTTTAATTGTTTACTAACTAAAATTCAAACAACATTGTTCAATCCCTGGGAGCCAGGGATCAAACCACTAACCTTCCGATCAGTAGACGACCTGCTCGACCTCCCGAGCTACAGCCACCCCAGTTGTGTTACACAATGATGCAACAATAGATAGAAAACTTTGATGTGAAATTCTAAGTCACAAAAATGAACAAAATGCTATTTTAACTCTTATTATAACTTAGAAAACATGTGTATACTTTTCATATTCAAGGCCCACGTTTTAGACGTGCACATTGCCCTGCAGCAGTCTAACAACTGTACTAAATGATATTAAAAACAATCTAGCATATTCATTAAATTATTCAAATTCTTGCACTATTACTACTAATCCCTTTTTCATTGCTCTTAATTGTTATTAAGAAAATAAATTATTCCCGTACCTTTAAATGTTTTGATCTTTGAAACTGTAACACAGACTCCTACAGGGCAGTAGGTCTAAACAAAATTAGTTTTTCTCTGTTCTAATTTCTCAGTCATTTAATTTCCACACTTTTCCATGTGTGGAAAAAAGGTCTGAACGTGGACGGTTGGGTCGAAAATGATTTTTTTTAAAAATGTGATGATCTAAATACAATGAAGCTTCACTCTGGCCTTCTTTAGTTCTAGCAGTATAAATGTGACCCTACCCACAGTAATCAAGACTTCACTCACTTTCTTGGCCCGGCTCGTGTCCGAACAGCTGGGAGACGTGAGGCGGCTGCTGGAGCGGTGGCTGCAGCATGGCTGTCTGCTGCTGCTGCACGGCCTGCTGGTTCTGATGCTGGTTCTGCAAATGCTGCTTTTGTTGCATCTGATGGTGCTGTTGCATGAAGTGCTGCTGCTGCTGCTGTAGATGCTGTTGGTGCATCTGCTGTTGATTCTGCTGTAACATCTGCATTCTTTGCTGCTGCTGCAACTGCTGCAGCTGTTGTTGCAGCAGCTGCTGCTGCTGCAACTGCTGTAGTCCAGGCCGTAAGGGCTGCTGAGGTCGCAGCTGCTGCTGGGAGAACACGTGCTGCTGCTGTTGCTGGGAAAACATCTGCTGTTGGTGCATTTGTTGCTGCTGCTGCTGTTGTAGGAACTGCTGCTGCTGCAGAGGCAACTGTGGGAACCCTTGTTGCTGAGCAGCCTGTGGCTGCTGCTGTTGGTGGTGTTGTAGCTGCATCATCTGTTGTTGCTGCTGAAGGTGCATCATGGGGTGCTGTGGCTGCTGTGATAACTGCTGATGCTGCTGAGCGGCCTGGTTTGACTGCTGCTGTTGTAGTAATTGCTGCTGCTCGGCCGTCAGGGGCTGACTGGTCAGTTTGGCCTGATTGAAGAGAAGAACATTGGTGCTGTTCAGGGTCTGAGCATGACTCTGATTCGTCTGCTGCTCCAGGGGCTTTGTTTGATTAGCAGGCTGGATGATCTACAAAAGAGATGATCACATGAAAGGAGAAAATGAGAATTTGCTGGGGGAACAGCAAATTGAGGATGTTTTCAAAAGGAAAAGGCATGAGGAGCACATCTGGAAACATGCCCGCTGTAAGAAACAACTCAAGGAGCATGACCCCCTAGTGTCAGGTTGTCTAGAGTCAGACTTTCCACACAACTTTGTGTTCTCCAGAAGCCTGTCATTCACTGACAGTCTCTTAGACAAACTGGTGACTGTGTTTGTCTGACGCAGATCAAAACATTTATTTCAATGTTATTTAAACAACGCCAAATCACAACAGCAGTCACCTCCAGAAAAATGAGGTGAAGTAATTAAGTATCTTAATCTTGGCTGAGCTGCTTGCTGCTTATCTGAGACAGCTCAGATCTATTGTTCCTGTGTCTTTATGGTTTGTTTAGTCCCAAAACTTGGAATTTCCAAAAATCTTGTTTACTTTTATTCTCCGATTTAAATACAGTTGTATGAGATTAAGTCTCTTCTTTTTACTTGATAACATAACCAGTGTTGGGCAAGTTACTTTGAAAAAGTAATTTATAGTTACTAGTTACTTCTTCAAAAAGTAACTAGTAACTAAATTACAAGATTCTAAAAGTAATGAATTACTAGGAAAAGTAACTATTGTGTTACTTAAAAAATGTTTAACCATGTGGTTCAGGGTATAATTGGCCATTTTAACTACTTTTGATGTTTCCTCTATTTCACCTTTAAAAACGATTTATTTGCCTTGTTTGGTCTCATCCTTTTCAGCACAACCTCACGTGTCTGACTTTACAGTTATGTTTTCATTTTGACAAACTGTATTAACACAACTGATCTAAAATCAGACAAAAAACATAAAATCCAAGTAGAAAAAGTTATTTTTACTGTAACAGCCACGAACGTGTTTAATGATCATATTTCATAACTTTAAATGCAAATATAAATTGTCAATTTTAAAATCATATGCACAAGTTTTGTAAACGAAGTTATTTGCAGCCACTTACCTTTTTTTAATTACCATTTCAAACTATTTACAGAACAATCAGCTGTTCTTCAATAAGATGCCGCACAAATTATTTGTGCCACTCCAATAATTTCTGTCCACTATAAAGGAAACATCACAGCCTGATACCTGCAGGTAGGGCTAGGCTATATCATACCGCTCACCGCTATAATGTTGGGCAACGATAAGAAAATGAAATATTGTGATAGAATATGGGTAAAACGCGCATGCGCAGTGCCTTTGTTTACATACGCACATGGCGGGAAAATCATGGCGGCGATGCAGAACGAGAAGAGTGAAAGTGGATTGTTGAATGAAACAGATGAAGCAGATCTGTTTATCGTAGGCGGAGCCTCGCGGAGTGATACGTACTGTGCTTCAACATAATATTACCGTATTGTGTGTGTTTAACCTCTTTATAAGTTTTGTGGATATTAATCATGGTTATGCTGAGGATATGTCGACCAGTTTCCACTGGAAATGCCTTTTGGTTAAACTGTCAGCGACGAATTTGCATTTGCACTGTTAAACTTTTATATAACTTTAATGCACATAAAAAACAGCTGGTTGTTTAAGTGAAAATATTAGTGCAAAAACCCATCAATGTAAAGTTGTGGAGTTGTAAAGTATTTTGTCTCGTGTCAATTATATCGTCAGTTATATCGTTATCGCAAATTTTCAAATGTATATCGTGATAAATATTTTTGGTCGTATCGCCCTGCTCTACCTGCAGGTCTGACAGCAGCAGGTGCATCACTCCTCCTGTTTTTACCTGGAGACAGCAGTCGCCTCATTGTTCTGACACACAACACAAAACTATCCACAACACTACACACTAACTACACACTCCAAACACGCTAAACGTCACAAATCTCTCACATCTCAAAACTCGCTCTCTCTCTTTTTCTGCTCTCTCTCTCTC